AAAAAAAAAAAAAAACAAAACCAATAACCTGTTTAATATTATTTACGGTTCATTAATTCAAAGCATGGCAAAAACATACCACAAATACCATTACTTCCCACCCTCCTAGTCCATGCAAACAATAAGATCTGCTCCCTTCCCCAGAGTTCTGTCCCATCTCACAATCTTACTCAAAATTATCCTAGGCAATTTCTAAAAAAAATATTTTCTGTTGGGTTGCATTCACATTGAGCAAACAGTTCTGGTCATTTCTTTAATCAAAACAGATTAAGATAGTTAAGTGTTGTGGGGCCCTTAAAATCTAGGAAGAACCAGTGGGAACTTTTCATTCACACTGCTCTAAGTACTTCAGAGAAACAGCCTGTCTTCCAAAGCTTACGAGGTTAAGCGGAAAAAGAGAGGTTGCCATGAGGTGATCAATGAAGTAAGCACAGACTATAAACCAAGTCAGCTATTGCATGATGCCTTTTAAAAGAACAGTTTAATACCTGGAATGCTATGGCCTGACTGAGGCTGTCAAGAGCAGGATCCTCCCCTTCATCTTCACTTTCTTCTACTTCCTCACTTAAATAAAGAAAAACAAATTGGAATGTAACCAACCAATAGTAAAAAGACAAAAGCAACTTGATAATGTATTTAGTAAAGGTAATATACATACATTTCTTCTTCTGGTTCAGGAGCTTTCTTTTTTTTCTTTTTTTCTTTCTTCTTTGGCGGCTCACGTTCTCCAAGCATATTTTTCGGACAGGCATAACTTAAGTGTCCACTTTCCTTTTGTTTCCCATTAAAAAGGAAAGGACAAACACTGTATTTGTTGCTGTTATTTACAAAAACTTGCCTGCTACCCTAACACTAAAAGGATTTTGAATTTAAAAAAGCATATTCCCATACTGGGACTATACAGAAGACATTAATGATAAAACCCAGGACTTAAATATTTAGAAGGTGATATTAAAACTCTCAGTTATTTTAACATTTAGGACTATTTAGTAGTTTTACTAAGAGTTAGAAGTAGCAGGCTTCTCTCAAACATTTTAAATCTAAAAATTCAAACAAATTGGCTGGGTGCAGTGGCTCACACCTGTAATCTTCACACTTTGTAAGGCTGAGGTGGGCAGATCACCTGAGGTCAGGAGTTTGAGACCAGACTGGCCATAATGGTAAGACCCCATGTCTACTAAAAATACAAAAAAAAAAAAAAAAAAAAAAAAAAAAAAAAAAAAGAAGTGAAAAGTATTTGTCATTAAAAAAAATACATATGAATTTCCCCAAAATTTTTAACACAGCCACATCGGGAAGATTGAGGAAGGTAGGAGAAGTATATGAGATTGAATAATTCCCCTTTATTCTTTTATTAAGTGACAGAGATATATGTATTTTATTTAGCAATGTGTGCACCTGTGAGTAGTTTCTTCTAGGGAATGGAATTTGGTGCTATGGGTAGTGCAGACAAATAACATCTATGTTTGATTTTAACCCTTTTAGAGCTATGTTACTTTATATTTTATAGGTATTTACAATGTATCCAGATTTGGGTTAAGGCTACAAGAAATAGATGACAAAACACCCATATTTAAGGACAAAATTCTCTTGGAAAGTTTATTAACATAAGTAACAATAAATCATTCAGCTTTTCGGTCTTCAGGAAGTTTTTAAGGATTAAATTTCAGAAGTCCTCATGTAAACAAATCAGATATGAATAAAGCCCTTATGATGAACTTTTCAAATAAATTTTTAAAATATCTTTTTTCTTAAGATGATAATAGTATTAACATGATAGTATTAACTTTTATTTTTATTAAAATTAGCTCTTCAGGATTATTACTAACAAATCTTGATTTTTATTTTTATTTATTTATTTATTTATTTATTTATTTTTGAGTCGGAGTTTTGCTCTTGTTACCCAGGCTGGAGTGCAATGGCGCGATCTCGGCTCACCGCAACCTCCGCCTCCTGGGTTCAGGCAATTCTCCTGCCTCAGCCTCCTAAGTAGCTGGGATTA